GGGCTTCAATTGCCCAGTTCAGCCTCCATCCTTAGTTTTTTGGCCCCCCACCACCCCCCCCCCCCCCCCCAGATGCCTCTGAGGTTTATATTGCTATTTTTGTGGATTTACAATGCATTTTATTGCTTGCTTTTCTAACGTGCTTTGTTTTACTTTAATTTGAGCATCACTCTGAATCTATACGATTGCACGCTTGTGTGAAAATGTAAGACGACATGGTTAAATATGCATGAACATTGTTGATTCCAGTGTCCCAAAAAACTATTAAATGCTTTCTCATTTATCCCATTTGAAGCAGAGGACGGAGTGTGACTTCTGACCCCATCAGGTTTGGAGAATAGTTTTGAGCAGACCCAAACTGATGGCAATGCCCAGATGACCTGTTGTTTCTTGTGTCTGATTTACCACCACAACCTGCAAGTATCATCACGTGGGTGTTCTATTATTCCAGGTGTCCTTGCCCTGACAAAAAGGTGTTGACAGCTATTGTATACTGATGATGTAGGCCTTGTTTCTTCCCTAATTGTACATCTGGTGCTGTTTCAATCAGGGAAGAAACAATACCCTAATTAAGGAACTGTCAAGGAAGAAACCGCACCCCAGCCAAGACTGGCAGGGCAAGCCGCTATAGATAAGGAGCCAACAGACCCCACCTTCTCCTGCACTGATGACTTACCTAGCATGGTGACAAGATGTCTGGAGGAAAACAACCAAGCTCAGAGAACAACAAGAACCCAACAGTTCAACCCTGAGCTACATCAGTTCTCTACTTTTAAGATTATTCTACACAGGCAGGGATGCCCACGAAGGTGTTGGTGCTCAAGAAAGTCAAGATGCAGCTGCAACCGTGTAATCAAGCCCTGCCCCCCCTTTTTTACATGTATCACACATACATCACACATAAGAGGGGGCAAGGGTGGCCACCGATCTTAACTCTTCAGGTCCTCTCCCACAAGCACCCCTGTACATAGGCAGCAATAAATTTTATGGAAAGGTTAAAGAGCGGATTCAAGAGGAGTGACTTTTATCCATTTTTCAAATATCTTTACATTCTGAAATGAGATGCAGCAATATGCTTGTCCCTATTCTAGATTAAATAATATGTTAAAGTATTGAATTAATTTTATGTTAATATTATATACATATTTTCTCCCCCCCCCCTTAAGCTTTGGTTTATTTTA